TGCTGACGACAGGGGCTCCCAGCAGCTCAGAGCCATCCTGCATGGTCAACCCTGCAGCAACCATCTGCCCTGCAACCACCAGCACCATGAGGGAGGTGGGTGAAGGAGAGCCCACATGGGCTCACGACAAGACTGAAGGACACGCTTGGGGCAGCAGAGACATTCAAATGATGTCCCTTGGTGGGTAAACCCTGCACCTCCAGTCTGGCCCCACTGATAAAAAGCCTCACTCAGCTGTGCTCACCCCTACTCTCACTTCCACAAGAAAGCACCTTGGTCCCGCCTGCTCCATGGCAAGGGGTTTGCAGACACCAAAGCTAGAAACCCTGGGCACTAAGGAAGCTCAGCTGACCCCAGAAGCCCCAGGTGCTCTGCCAGTGCCAGCTCCTCTGGCTCCACCGGGAGATGCCCTGCTTGCAGCTGGGGACAGGACAACTCATCACCCACAGCTCTAACTCTGCCAGATCCCGCAGACTCCCGAATGTTGCCATCTCTTGGGTGCTGTGATCCTTAACTTCTGTTCCTGGCAACAAACCCCTTCTCAGGAACACAAGACCGGTGAAGAAACAGCGATGCATCAGTAAGGTCTGGACGGGACAGACTCTTTGGCCAGCAAGCACAAAATGTCCCTCAGGACAGAGATGTCAGGGTTACAAGTGCACACCATGGGCTCGGCATGAGCTGCACCATTTTTTGGCCAAGCAGGCAACACTCAGCCAGTTCTGCAAGTGCTGCCTCATCTACATAACCCTCCCCAGACAGCCTGGGGCAAGACAACGGCCAAGCAGTATAAAAACAGCCATTTGCTCTTTTCAGCCTCCACACTGCCCCACCCTTCAGGAATTCCTCTCCAGCAGCCTCGATGGACCCTCACCACCTTCCAAGGTCAGAAAGCCATCAGTCACCCCTCTACCTCTTTCCCACACAGGTCCCAGCCCTCCCTCACCCTGGCCATCGACCACTTCAGCAGTTTGTGGTTTTCCAGCCGTAGCTGCCTGAAGACAAGAGGACTTCTGCCTGACTCTGTCCACCCTACAAGTGGCCCAGCCCTGTACAGCCACGTGCCCACAGGGGTGCAAGGAGATCATGGCTCACTCACTCTCATCGGGGTTGGGTGAAGCAAGAATGGCGCTGTGCTTCCTCTTCACTTCTTCCACGTTCTCTGAAATTTTATCAATGAACCCTCGAATTTCTTCCACCTGTGAAGATGGACAACAAGACAGGTCTCTTGTGAGATACCTGGAATTTTGGAATGGGGAGGGATTATTAAACCCAATCCCAAAGCAAACATGACACGTCTGAACCACAGCAAATGTTCTCCTGGACAAATATTTTTCCAGATGGATCCTTAAACTGTAGGACCACTGTGAAATCAGACCTTCCACATCACAGCAGTCAGCTTTGCAGTCACAGCAATGTAATATAGAATCTACATCCTGTATCCTTTGTGATGCACTAAGAAACATTTGTGGTTTGTTTAAATTAGCATCAGATCTTCAGATTCTCAGACTCTGCACCTCTGGCATGGAGAACATTGCTGAGGTTGCACAAGCCAGGCTCAGTCCTGGCTCAGTCCCCCACTGCTCTTTGCTCCAGGGGCTGAGGAGCCCAGTTTGATCCTCACCCCACAGACCAGGGAGGCCAACAAATCCATGCTGGCCTCTTCCCCACACTTCTGTACCTCAAGGAGACATGCCGGCATCGCCAAGAGGGGGAACCTCTACTTGTGCCCTCTGCCTGCCAGGATGCCCACCCTCTAGCTCTGCCTTCTTCTTTGACTCACACCACCACCTGGCTCATCTTCCTCCATCTGCACATCAGATTATTTTCATTCCCCACTCCATTGCCTGCACAGATACATTTTAACACCCCCTACACACATGCCATGCTTAGGGTGTGCTAAAAATCCGCATGCAGATCTTACAGCCACCCACATGCCAGAAGACAACCTCTTGTTTGGTAACGAGAGGCACAAAATTAAATCAAACCCATGCAGAAACGGCTACTCCGCAGAGGTACTTTCAGGAGAGGTTTGAGAGCTGGTGCGCTTTAGTGGCAGGCTGGAGGCAGGCAGGCTGCAAGGCTCAGCCACTTCCCCCGACTGGTCGCCTGGCCCAGCTGACCCACTGGTTTTCAGAGGAGGAGGTGGCACAGCAAAGCATCCATATGGCCAGGTAAGCCCACGACAGCCCCAGGTCTGCATGGAAGCCTGGTTCCTGCGAATCAGTGCTCTGAGCATAATCCCCAAGGACACTGATCACTAGCTGAGCAGCATCAGCCAGGGCAGGGCCCCCCATCCCCACCTCAACCACTGCCCCATGCCTGCAGTGGGAGCCTGTACCACAGCCCCACAGCCTGCTCCAGTGCTAACGGAAAGCTCTGAACTAGCTTTAAAGATGCACTGGAGAAACAAACCTCTCACCTGCTCAAAGAACTCGTCCATGAAGCGGTCCCGATCCACACTGACGGTAACTTCATCATCGTCATCACTGTCCTTCGCCTGCAACGACATGGAGGACAATCAACAAGCGTCTCCTGCAAAGTTTGCAGCTCCATTTCAGGAGCTCCTCAGGGACATTTTCCCCTTCTCCTTTCCTCACTTGCTCCCAGCAGCTGGGGTAAATGCCAGCCACTGCATGGGACACCTTGGGCACCGCTGACACCAGGAGAGCAGAGGACAGACAGCTCCAGCAATAGAGGCATGATGTAGAACAGCACTGCAGCCAGCTGACACAACGTGTGGCCTCCCGTGGCAAGCGCAGAACAAGGCTAATGACACCTATGCATTTACTGAGAGCTGGAGAGAGGAACTTTATGAGCTACCTTCAGCTATGTGTGAGCATAATGACTCTGCAAACAGCAGTGACAGGAAAGCACAAGGGATGCTGCGATGGGAAAACACAAGGTGTGCTGCAGAGTGCAGAAAAGGTCGGAGAGAACAGAAAATACAACAGAATTAGTAAAGCCACAGCAGGCAAACAAGGGGCTGTCCTTGTCTGCAGAAGCGTATGTGTCATTGTCACCAGAGATGAAACACCTCCTGTCCCAGCAAGGCAGAGGATGCAAGCTTGCAGGGGAAGGAAAAATTACAGTTCTCCGTACAAGGAGACATTTAAAAGATTATTATCCAAAGCAGATACATGATGGAGGGAAATGGAAAATTAATGGGGTGGAAAAGTTTCTTCTTACTCCATCTTGACTAGATGGAATTGAAGGAGCCAGTGGAATGGAGAAGATTTAAGATGACTGTCTCTGCTCATCGTATAATTTCCCCCATTTTGAAGATGGTTACATGTCACCCCCCGTGGCCCCTTCGCACTTTGCAGAGAGCTAGCCAATATGGTCTCCACAGAGATCCCTCTTTCCTTTAAATAAGTCAGATTAAATACCTATCCTTCTGCGTAAAATTGTCTTTTCAACCTAGGGTGACTGGTTTGGGTGGAGTCACCCAGAGGAGATGTCAGCTTTCAGCCTTGTCACTGCTCAGGGTACTCTGCTTTGGTAACTGTTCCGTGAAATGCTAAGCAGAGGTCCAAAGATGTCAAGATTGGAGAACTACCACAATTCAAGGAAAAACCTCATGCTGACAAGGAAAAGCTGGCACATTGCTGTCCTTACCACACCACTCCATGGGCACAAAGAAGAAACATTCCCTGAAGCCAGGAATTCAGAATTTGTCCATTTTGGCCGCAACCAAGCCCTCACACCAGGGCTGGGCAGGCTGGGGCATGGCAGAAGCCTCCAGACCAGGAACTGGTCGGTACATTTAGATTTTGATGAAGCTGGACAAGATCAGCCTGAAGATGAGCATCTAGAACTTCCTCTCGCTTGGACTTTGATCTCTTCCCCGAGTTGCTAAAAATACCCCATCACGCTGGGAGTTCCCTGCCTGCACAGGCATGCCTGTACCTGTCTGGATTTGCAGAGAGCTCTGCACATTCCCTGCAGAAGACAGGGCCCAGCTCCCTCCCTGACACTTTTTGCTTTCAAAATTCAGCAGTCTGCTCTCACACCAGGTCCACACTAGCCTCCTCTGCTCCCCAAAAGTGGTCACAGCCTGGCACTGACAGCCAGAGCACGACTCAGGCTTAGCGCAGAGGTGGATGCATGGCCACGTCCAACACCACCCACGCAGCTCCAAGGCCAGGGGCAGGATTTGGCCACAGACTCTGTTACACCCCTCCTGCACCCCGATGCCACCAGGCAGCCAGACTGGAGGAACCCACACCCTCTCATCACCCCAGTCCCCTGTCATCGCTGCCCTGGCCTCACTCAAACCTGGCTTAGCAAAATAACGGCTGTCACCCTCAAGTCCCAGCTCTGCTGCCAACTGTGTCGTTCATTCAGCCTGTGAGCGAGCCTTGCTGCACCAGCACAGACACTGGCTGTAAGCAAAGGTCCATTTGGGGTCTAAAAACGAACGCAGACCTGCCTGCACCCGCTCCATCGCTCCCAGAGAAGCGCAGGCACTTTCCCAGCACCCACAGAACCTGAACAGGGGGGGTCACCATAGAGGAGGTTAAAAAGTATCATCTCCTAAAGCCAGGAAGGATGCCTGCATGGATGGATGCTTGCTACATGGACGGATGCTTGCTACATGGATGTAGCTACCATCCATGTTTGCATTTCAGTTGACATGCCACTAGAAATCCCACTTGGTTTGTGCCATGCTTGGTTTTAAGCATCAACTGCCTTCAGTTAGGATGAGTGGTACCCAGAGCCCATCGGATGGGCAGCTATAATGCCCTTTACTCCTGCACGGACCGAAGGACATTTAGCCAGCACATGCAAACAGGCATGGTTTCTGCCTGCCTTGTGCCAGCGTTACCCCAAACAGCATGAACAGTCACAAACTCCCACCTACACCCTCCCCCCGCCCCAAGGATCTCAGAAATACATAATGCCAACAGATCCTGGGGGCACACGTTATGAGTGATGGAAGATGCAGCCTCCAGCACAAACGCTGCCCTGGACACACGTGCCCCAGGTTACGGCATCCCCCTCCTGACCACCCTGCCCAGCCTCTGCATGTCAGCAACAAGAACACCCCCACTAGCCCCCACAGCCATGTGAGATTTCAGATGTGGGGTGCGTTCTTCATTAGCTCAGTGCAAGCATTAGGCTGCAGCATGGTGGGCTGCATTTCAGGGAGGTTTCTCAGGAGAAAAGGGGCTGTTATTCCAGCTGACCTCCTGTACCTGATCTACTACTCCTTTTCTGTGCTCCTTCCAGCTCTGCTGATTCCAGCTCCGTGCCACAAAGTCATTCCTCGGGCAGCAACCACCCACCTGACCCATCCCCAGCACCCACCACAGACAGGCAGGCTCATCCCTGCACCTCAGGGCACACATCCTGCCCAGAGGTTTACCCCACAGCACAGGGGCTGTGCAGGGGGTGAGGGACAGCACTGCAGCCCAAGCTGGGGGCAGACGGCCTGCAGGATTCTGCCTGCAGAACAGCTTTGCCAGGGCACACGTGTCCTGCCTGCAGCACTGTGGCACCCCACCACATACCCAACAGGATGGCCATCTACGGGAAAGGGTCAAAGGAAAGGGTGCTGAGAGCAGCCCAGTGGAGAAGGACTGGGGGATACTGGTGGGTGACAGGTGGGACAGGAGCCAGCAACGTGCACTCGCAGCCCAGAAAGCCAAGCACCTCCTGGGCTGCATCACCAGCAGCGTGGCCAGCAGGCCGAGGGAGGGGATGCTCCCCCTCTGCTCCGCTCTCCTCAGACCCCCTGGAGCACTGCGGCCAGCTCTGGGGTCCCCCGCACAAGACAGACAGGGACCTGGCAGAGCGGGTCCAGAGGAGGCCACCAAAATGGCCCGAGGGCTGCAACACCTCTGCTGTGGAGAAAGGCTGAGAGAGTTGGGCTTGGGCAGCCTGGAGGGGAGTCGGCTCCAGGGAGACCTTGCCGCGGCCACTCAGTACTTAAAGGGGGTTTATAGGAAAGAGGGGGGGAGATTTTTGACCGGGGCCTGCAGTGACAGGACAAGGGGCAGCGGCTTTGAACTCAACAAGGGTGGGGTCAGGCTGGAAATAAGGAAGAAATGTTGTATGATGAGAGTGGTGAGACAGTGGCCCAGGGTGCCCAGAGCAGCTGTGGCTGCCCCCTCCCTGGAAGGGTTCAAGGCCAGGTTGGAGGGGCTGGGAGCCCCCTGGGCTGGGGGAAGGGGGCCCTGCCCGGGGCAGGGGGGTGGCACTGGATGACCTGTGAAGGTCCCTTCCAACCCAAACCACTCTGTGATCCTATGAAATCCCTCTCCCAGGGCGAGCAGGATGGGAAGCACCAGGGAGCCTCTGCAGCCCTGCACAGGAAAATGCACTTCCATCACAACTTCCCCTAAGCCTATCCAGCTTTTCTTGCCTGCATTCCGGCAGGATCTTAATTTGCAGGAATTCTTAGCACCATTCTGAAGCCAGCAAGGAAAGCATTCCCCATCATTAATTTTAAATGCAGCCTTTTACTATGACCATATAGGCCAGAGAGTACTGGCAGCAGGAAAGGCAGCAGGTCAGCATGCTGCCAGCAAAGATGCTCATCTCCTTGTCACCTCTTTCCCATCCCTTCCACCTCTGAAACAGTCCTGGTTCATTGCATGCAAGATGCCACATTGCTGTTTAGTCCTGTCCCTGCTGCCCACTGGATCCTGACATTTATTAGTGCCAGAAATGCTAGAGGAAGGTAACTGCCCAGGGAGAGGGTTTCTGCCAAAGTCACACACAGCCTTGTTGGAGGCATTTCTATTTTCAAGGCAGCTCGCCCTCCAGGCACAGCAGAGCACTGATGCACAGGCAGAGTGATGTTTTTTTAGGGCAGGCACTGAACACGCTGCTGCCCTGCTGTGCATGGAGAGAGCAGCACAAAAGTCCAGCCGGGAGCCCTGCAAAGAGGAAATTACAAGGATGGAGCCTGCTGGTCAGGAGGGCACGTGCCACTCCAGGCTGGAGAAGGGCACCATCTGTCCAACCCACGTCACTGGAAATACCCTCGGTGCCACGCCGCTTCTGACACACGGCGTCCGGCTGACCACCTGGCCCCACTGACCCCAACCCGACATCCCCACACCAGGGAGGCAGCCGCAGTGTGAGCTGTGGGGCTAACCACGACTCAAGGGGGAGGAGATACCACCAGGCAGGCACAGCTCCCTGGGATGTAGGGCACTGAAGGATCATCTGCTCCCAGCATCTCCTTCCATCCCAGAGCTCCGTCCAGGCATGCTGCCAGTCTTCACAGGCACTCATCCCAGGCTTGAAGTGTCTTCCCATACACTGCTGCCAAAGTAGAAACAAAACCAAAATACCTTTCCTAAGGAAACCTAAAGTGTCCACCCAGCCAATAGCCAAAGCCAATAGCGTTTTGGCTTCACGCATCCCAGCTATGAGCACCCCAGGTTTTCAAAGCCTCCAGTCTAGGTCAAAGCTACCCACTGGTGCTGCTCAACACAAGCAGTAATCAATTCACAGCCTTTGAAATCCTGGGCTTGCTTGCCAGCGACA